TTAATCAGTGGCAGAAAAATGTGAAAGTGACACTGTTAATCGTCGTTAATAGCTTAGCTTGTTATGTTTTCTAATGTCAGCAAACGGTGACAGCATACTTTGAGGTCTCTATTTGCAACACGATAGCTTTAGTTACTGTCAGTTCCTAACATAAAATGTTGATTTACAAAAGGTTTAAAATCAATTTTAACAGCTGAGAGTATGTCAGGGAGAGCTTTCTTACCCTCCAGTTGTGAGTATGTTGAATGATTGACTTCAGCTCTCCCCCTAGGAGTGTGGCACACAAAGGTGCACCTTTGTTTTGGGGGTGACAGGAGGTACAGGTAGGATTTGGGAGGGAGGAAGGACACTAACCCACTTAGGTAGGTTTTTGGTTTTGTTTTGTTTTTTTTTTTTCTTTCAGATTTTAAAAAAATACATCTTGTGCTAAGGTTCATCTGATAATTCATAAGTCCTCACGCTTCCAGAGGTACAGAGGTAACAATTCACGAGCCATCCTCTCCAGTTTTGGTTGCAAAGCTGAGTGATAAATTCATTAATCCTCTGGTTTGTGAGAGAGCCACTATCACTTGAAATGTTCGTGCATGGGGCTGGCCTCCTGTTGGGTTCTGCAGCTGAAAGCTGCTTTTTAAATTTCTAAGATTTTTTTTTCCTCCATAAAAGCTGGACTAGAATAAGGTTTTGAGACATTTTTGCGAAGAGCAGCTAATCCAAATAGTCCTCTGAAAAGGCACTTTTCTGTTAGCCACATGGTAAATAGCTGCTACATATGGCCAACTGCTCTGTCTGCCTGTGCACTTTTATACCTGGTACTATTTCAGAAATATTCCAGCAGTCACTGGCACAGTTGCTGTTACTGAGGCAAAAACTTCACTACCAGGTTATTTCCATATTCAGGAGAAAAAAAAAACAAAACAAACAACCAAAGTAATAGCTGGATTAGAGCTGTCAGGGAAACTTTTGTTTTTTTCTTAAATACATTTAGATAACCTTAAGGGCCTGACTTACACCCAACAAAACCAGGAAGTTCAGAGTTAAGGCTTCTCACTCCATCTCCAGCGCTCACTGGAGTGCTTGGCTCTCCAGCACGGGTGGCAATGGAGATCACACACTATATCCTCAGATCCCTGCTCACCTAGGCAAAGCATTTGCCGCCTGAGTGGTGCCGACTGTTCCAGGTACGTGTTTAATACACCTGCTGTCCTGTGCAAGGTGCCCTGTGTGTCTTAACAGTCCGCTGCTTTCCCTGGTTTGTTAATGGCCGGTGGCAGCACAGCAGGTGTGGTGGAAAGCCAGCAGCAAAAGGGGGAAGGGTACAGATGCAGTGAGAAGCTTTAACTTTGAGTTTCCTGGCTTCTGTGAGCACAAGTCAGACCCTTAATGTTGTTTTAATGTATTGTTTGTGTTTAATTTTTAGTAAAAATTTGAACACCATCCAGGCTACAGAGGTTGCAGTGGATAAGAAGTTTAAAAGCTTTGGTTCAAGATTACAGGAGGCTGCAAGAAAAATTAAAGACATGAAAATGAGGATCGAATGACAGGCTGCTATTTTGCCTCAGAATACTGAAGATTGTAAAGCATTGAGAAATCGAATTCATGACCCTGGAAGTCAAGCTCAGATTAAGCAATGTCAGGTTGGTAGGGGTTCCTGAAAGTCTCAAGTTAGGATAAACTGAGATTGTTTTCCCATAACAAAGGTTCTAGGATATGGGGGTGGATGGTATATTTTTTGTTATCTGTGTTACGGGAAATGCTATACCATATACTTAAATAAGCCAGCTAAGTGAAATTATTTTTTTTTAATTAATTTCACATTTACGGTGTTGAATGTCACTTTTGACCAGTTTACAGTTATTTCTCTCTGGCATCGAGTTGCATGATTTACTGTTAATGCAGGCATAGAAAATACTGCTCTTAAATACACGCTGCCTTATCCTACTACTCCAGGGGTCTGCTGCAAAGCCAAACACGTGGTGCAATATGACATTTCTAGATAAGAAACAGGTAGAACATATCTACATGGTGGAAGAAGTATTTTTTTGTTCAAAGGGTTCTCATTCATAGTGAAACCTTGTCTTTCCAAATGTAAACTTTAAATAGTGACTGCCACTGTGATTAAGTTACTGCAAGTTTACTTAAGTGTTGAGTTATTGTCTGCGATTCAGTGATACGGTATTTAGGCAGAAAGTTTGTGCAACAGGAAGTCTGTGCTCAAGTTCAGAAAGGATTTTGGCAAGCAAAGGTTTGTAGGGTTTTCGTGGTCAAGGTCACTGGATGTATTTGAGTTGGGACTCTTAACAAAGTCTGAGATTCTCTTGGGGAGGGTTTATCCTTCTAGTTGTTTTTCTGATCTTTGTTTCCATGCTTTGAGGCTTGGTCTGGCATGCCACTTAACGCCAACATGAGGGACGAGTAACTTGGTTGAAATCGATAAATATAGTGGTATGAGGGAAAACCCAACCACACCTTTATGTATTTTAGAGAAGTGATTGTTTTAGAGTTATATATTTTGTGATACTTTATTTCATGATTTTCTGAGGTAGCTCTAGTTAGAAACGTGTTTCTTGAAAGTGACAGTTTTTAATCTCATCTTCTGTTATCTGCTTGGACTATACGTGCTTTTCTGTTGACAAAGATGTGTTAGTTGTAGCTCTGAGGGAATCATCTGTGCCATATTTTTCCTCATTCATCTTCAACGACTTTAATATCAAAGGTCTGTGTTCTGTTTTTTTTTTTTTTTTTAAATTTTCTTTTTTAGCATTGAAACTTTTAGTTGAAATCCTGCCTTTGCTGGACTGACAATTAAGATGATGACCATAACATTTCAGTTGTAAAATCAGCACAGTTACTCTATGCAATATGAATAGGACTTGCAATGTCATTTTTACATTTGTTTCAAGACATATTTGCATTTTATTAAGGCTGTTATGTACACTGTTTTGAAAGAAACATGAACAAGTGTATCATGTTCTATTTTAGGGTGTTTCTAAGTAAATTTAATGTGGGGTTTTATAATTAAGTTTCCTTTAAAGGATAGTAATTATTCTCTGGATAAATATGTAGCTTTACATTTCATGTCACGTTTGTGTTATATACCACATTATTAGTGTATGGTTTAATTACTAAAAATGACTGTATGAAGGTTATGTGGCCTTTTTTGATTCAAATAGGTAACAATAGTAAATTAGCAAGATGCATGATTTTTAAAAAAATATATTTAAAGGGCTTCCATTTAATTTTGATGGCTGGCTATTATTGAAAGCATCTGTGTACCAGAAGTATTTCTAAGTGTGTCTGTCACAGTGGAGGCTAGGAATTGATGGTTTTACAACAGAGAATAGTTTTTGTGGGTGTTGTGCCCATGGAAAACTTTGCTGGTGAATACTTTTCACATCTGAATGCCTGTCTGCTATGGCAAGAGTAGATAAGAACCAAATGTAGTGACTTTTGTTCTGTCTTCTTCAAGTATAAAAACTGTTTGAATAGGTAAAGAACTTAAATGCCAGATTGTAGTAGGGCTGGCTGGTCTATCAGCCTGACTTGGTTAGGGGCAGACATGAATTTATGGGTGCAGGCTGGACAGTTGGGACTATGAGGGTGCCAGTCTCCTTGGATGTACTCCTTCAGCCCCAGACCTGAGCTTGGTCCCAGTGGGGAAGCAATATGCTGCTTCTGTTGACTTGTGAAAATCTCTTCTCGCAGCAGCTGTTTTTCTTCACCAGGTATCTTGTACAGCTGGGATTGTACTAATTTTCCATCCACTTAAAATGCAGATGACAGTCTTTCAGGGCTTGCTTTTTGACACAGGCTGGGACTTAAGAGGCAAGGTTTGCTTGTAGAAGGTAGCTGGCAAACCTCAGTCTTTTGCATGAATGTTGGACTAACTTGTATTATCAAGCAATAAGCAGTGTTTTTAAATTCACACTACAACAGAAATATGTTGTTGGAATTTGCATACAAGAAATATCTAGTGTGCTTCACTTTGCAGTGTTTAAACTACTTATTTTAAAAGAGGAAAAAAAATCATGTACTTTATTCTTGTTTTTGCTTTTCTTTATCTCTTCAGGAAGCCCCTTTTTTTTCCACCCACGCTTAACTACTTTTGTGTAAATGTAATGGTTTAATATTATTCCCTTCAGTGCTTTCATATATTTATAGCATCTATACTGTTAAAAAGTTACTCTCTGAATATCTTATTATAAGGATTACTTTTCATTTTAAGACTCCATAAAGAGGATATAAATGAAGTCTGCACTTTCAACTGATTTTCCTTCCCCTAGATATTTAACATGTATTTCTTTGCCGCTCTACAATGTTCCAAGCATGATGTTGATTTAGGGAGGGACATTTTGTTCGTATTTTGTAAGAGGTTTCAGTGGTGGATTAAGTATGATGTGTTTGTTTGACTAAGCTATACAGAATTGTTTTGTAAAACTTTTAAGTCTAAACAGATGTACACAGATCAGCAGTTAGCCTGTGTACTTGGACATTGGATCTTCAGTAAATTTGAAATTTTGCTGCCGTAGGCTTTTTTCCAGTTAAATTTCAGTCTCAGCAGATCAGCATCATATATGTAAATTAAATACTCAAATCCTCACTGAATTGCTTATGATATTCCATAAGCTATACTCTTACAAGCCTGGACAAGATATTTCTCACTCTGTCTAGAGGTCACAAAGGTGAGGACTCAATCAAAATGTGAACCTTGGATAAGATTACACAGACATTTCTTACTAATGCAGTAAGGATGTACCTTTAAAAAACAAATATACTATTCCCTAAGTGGTTTTATCCATCTTCCACTGTTCAGCCTCCTGAACCCAGATGGCATTTTTTTCTTAGGTCCTCTGTGTTTGTTTGGTTGATTGCTGACTGTAAACTTGTTCCTGTTTTACTAGCTTCAGTCCTGTCAGAATAAACAGACTAGCTAGAACCTTTTTTTTTTTTTTTTTAATTATATTTGCATGGCTTGAATAACAAGTCTTCTGTTTCTTCGTAGGCATTCGACCTCCGATCATGAATGGGCCCATGCACCCGCGCCCTTTGGTAGCGTTGCTGGATGGCAGGGATTGTACAGTAGAAATGCCTATTCTGAAGGATGTAGCCACAGTGGCGTTTTGTGATGCTCAGTCTACACAAGAAATTCATGAAAAGGTAATATTTAGAGCTATAATTGAGGTGGGTTAGAAAACGCACATATTTTAATGATTATGAACAGATACAGTGTTGTGTTAGCTGTGACAATGTGTTTAGCTGTTTCATTTTAGTTAATGGTTGATTACCTTAGTGAGTGAGTTACTGGTCATTTCCAATAAGTGATGAAACATGATGATGAAACAAAGATGAAATTGTCTGTGTTGAAGTATGCTTTTGTGTAGTGTATCTTTGGCTGGGTGTTGTCCAGATGCTTCCCTGCTGAATTGGATGCATGGAGAGCGTTACCACTGGGAAAATTATATTATTACATGATAATTTTAAATGCTTCTTGGAAACACTGTTGCTCAGCCTTCATCTGGAAAGCCAAATCTCAGTATTGGATTGCCTGTGTGAGGAAATTTCAAACTTCTTTGTTTAGCCAAGGAATTGTGCAAATCGAGTTAGGAGGCCTTGTGCACTGTGAATTAACACTGAGAAGAGTTTCGAAACAAATGCTGACTCAAAATTTAATTAGCAAATGAATTAAAAATGTATTCTAACTGTATGTTATTCCAGAAATTTTCACCCTTCCTGGTGGTTTGGAAGCTGTAAAACAATTAGTGGTTCTTAATACTGTCAAAGCTTTTCTCATTTTTTTTAGAGGGATGCTCATTTTTTGTGATGGGAGCCAAGGGAACCAGCTGGCCCATACACCTGTATTTTCTTTTCAGAGACTTCTTCCAACATGAAAGTCTCTTGTCTACCCCAAGTATTTGCTTCTGGACAGCAATAGAACCTTTTCACGTCCATATTTCTGTAGAGGTAAAATTGATGCTGGTGAAGTTGTTGGCTAGCAGAGTAAGCCTCAAATGCCAGATATTCCTTCACCTGATAAAGGATGAAACCAGGCCTTACAGCTTCTATGGAGGTAAAAAAATTAATAAATATGACAGTAGAGGAGGAACCATGTGCAGAGGAGGGCAATCAGAGTGCCCTTCCACAAGAATTTATTTTTTTCTCCAGCAAAAATCCATGATAGGCAAGTGCAGATCCAAGTATTAACTTGAAGGCCTCTTGGGTAAGTGTCTGTATCCACTTCTGTGTGAATGATACTGTGTACTGCTGAGTGTGATTCAGGTGCTTAGGAGTTGTGTCAGCTGAACTGAACTGCACTGCACCAGTGTTCTTGTTTCTCTGCAGATACCTTGTTAGACTTGTCTTGTTACGTTAATTACAGCAGCATTTGGGTTTGTGACAGGTTTTCAGAAGCTTTTCACTATTTTGAATTCGTAACTGGTTTAATTGTTTATTTACTCTTCATGTTGTTGTAATATATAGCATAGTTAAACATGTTAAAGTCTCTGTATGATGAGAGATTTAATCTTTTCTTTGATGACTTTCTTGCAAACTCAGCTACATAAAAATGATACCACTGCTAACTTCCCTTCTGTTACCAAGTGAATAAATCTCATTTTCTGTAGTCCATTTCATGTTAGCATCTTCCTGGTGAGAACACATGAACCAACTATTCAGCTTGTTATTTCTTTAGAAAAATATTTTTATTTGTAAAAAAAAAAAAAAACAAAAAAAAAAAAAAAAAACAAAAAAAACCCAAACATTTTAACAATTAAAACTTTCAAAATTTGTCAGTGGTAGGTTGTAATTGTTTGTTTGTTTGTTTGTTTTTGCCTTATGTTTTTTTCCTTTTTAAACAGTAAAGAGAAGACTAAAGAACTGTATGCTGTGGCAACACAGCAAACTAGAACTACCAATTCTCGTGGTTCAGACAAACACAAGAGGTGATTCCCCTCTCCTGAAGCCCTGTGTGTAGTTCCTTGGTGAATATCTCTGCAGACTTCTGCCCTACTTCCCGCACAGGAATAGGTTGTTGTCAGAACAATAGTCAAGCATTATATTTAAGGTTGTTTTCTGCCGCATCAGTACTGGCTTAACGTCACTACCTTGTTTTGTTCAGCTGTGTTTTAGATACAGTAAAATTCTAATCTGAATAGGGAAATGGAAAAAAATAAAATTCTTCCTACTAGGAAATAATCTGCGTTTCAAACACCCTTTTTCTCAGTTCATTAGTTGTTTTTCACAGGATAGTTAAAACTATTCTTTTTAGATGATTCTTGAATTACAAACTAGATTCAAAGTTGGCAATATTATAGTGCTGATCTCATGTCCTTTTTTCTTTCTTAATGTGTTTATACTGTCATATGGAAGACCATTTTATAGTGGACAGCCAGTGGAATAGCACAAAAACCTAAACTGCCATTTTGTTGTGACATTCTGGTTTGAAACAGTAAAGTTTTAGGAAAACCTAATGCTAATTTCAACCTTTTCTTTAACATCTCTTGAAAGAGAACAATGTGTTTTCAGTGCATCCAAGACTATTCAATATTGTGGCAGTGAATGAGAACCTGAAAGTAACTAACTTGAGAACAAATACAAAGAAGTGAAAACCTCTCTGTCTTCATTGGTAATTGGAGATGCATAGAAATGGGTATTGTTGTTTGGTGTTGGTATTTTTAATTAAAGAAGCTTAATTTGTAAGGTCGAAAGACAATAAGTATAATACTTTATTTTTTTAATTTAGAGAAATAATCAGTCCAAGGTTTTTTCTCTCAATTCCCTTTTATCTTTTTATATATCAAGAATTAAAATGTGATACAATGCCTTATTTCTGTGATGTATTTCTTTTTAATCATTTTGAAAAGTTGCTTTAATATTACTGTTTTCCTGTATTACACCACTGTCAGAAGTTTAATACATGAAATAGTTGGATTGCATTTACAAGCACTAAATAATACATGGAGAATAAGCAATATAATGCTGCTTTACTATTTTTTTTAAGTAGAAAATAGCAGTCTACTCTTCATGTGGACACTGTAATGTTGGCAGCTGCACCACCTGTATAGTTTTATGCTTTGCTGACTGAAATCAACATCATTTACTTCTGATGCATCAAGACTGGGGAATTCCAGTGTGATATGAGTGCCTTTTGCCTTAGAAACACTCAGTATTTTCTGTTATCAGTGGGGTGTAGTAAATGAACTTATCGGACGTTGAGACTGAACGTTACTCTATGTGTCTCAAATTGTAGCTTTGGAAAAGCATTTAAATGACTGCTGAGTAACACAGGTGATCTGTTGTTGATCTTCACAGGAGTGTTTGTATTTAGTGGATTATACTAAAGCTTGCATCCTTTGCTTTTTATTATAGCAAAATAATTAATTCTCAGTGAGTTCAGTGATATATCTGGAAAATGTATTTTCACTAACTACCAGTACGCTGCCATAATACAGATTTTCACTAGGCCAAAGGGTGATGGAGGCCTAAAATGTTTCGTTTTGGAAAGTAGTACTGTTCTGCCAGGTAATAAATTTCTGCAACAAAAATCCCAAGCCTTGATTCGTTATCATTCTGTGACATTACTGTGATGTAGATTACGAGATCAGATTTACAAAGTGTTGAGCATGGTTCACTTCCATGCAAAAACTATTAACTTTTTACTTCCACTGTTCACGTACACTGAAAAATGGCTGTTTTCCACAGGTCTTTAGAGTTATAGTAGAGAAATATCTGTATTTTAGTATTGCTTGTGCAGTACCTTATTTGGGATTGGTTCGTTACTAAATATAAAATTGTTTTGGGGAAAACTCTTAAAATTAGAAGTTGCATATTTAAATCAGTATTTAAAATGTTTGTGTGTTTATGGATGCACATTCCTGGCTATACTAAATGAACTTGTCTTCTTAAAATACAAGTTTTTCCATAATGGATGTGAATTTGCAAAAGACTTTTCCCCATTGTGAACGAAGAGATGACAAAGTCAAGAAAAAGTTTAGTGTTGAGAAGAGCTTACTGAAAGCAGAAGGTGAAGTTGTTTTTCTTTCATGTATTTCTTGTCCTTAAGAAGAGACACTGAATTCAGTAGGGCGGCAGATACAGGTACATTGACATAATCTGAAGTTGCAGGAGGCAGGCTGGGAAATTTAGGATGGGGTTTGAAAGAGGTGGTTGATGTTTGACACACATAGATGGGTGGCTGTAGATGAATGTAATGAAAAAAAAAGACATGAACTAAGAATTGGATGAGGAGGAAAGGAGTGAAAGACTACAAAGGGATAGCTAGGAAAGTAAGAACTGGTATAAACTCAGCTTGCACAGTTGAGGTGCATTGGTCACAGTGGTGTGAGGATTCAGTGTTTGAGGAGTAAACATTTTGGAATCCAGAGAAGGGATTTCTGCTGGTCATGAGAAGGTTTCAGGGACAGGATGATGGTTTAAAATGCTGTCTTTTAAGATCATTGGACAACGAAGGAAATGGAGTAGAAAGGGGGATTTGTAGTAGTTTGTGAGACAGCAAAGCACAAGCTAGATTTTTTTTTTTTTTCATAGAGAAGTAAGGAGACTGAAAGATTTTATCCCATACAGAAAAGATGAAAAAATTTGAGGATTTTAATACCATTTGTATACAGGGTCAAAAGCAGGACATCAGCAAGTACTATTATACCTTACTATGTGTGCTAATTAAAGAAAGTTTTCAGCTAGATGGGTAGTCCCTGACTTGCAGTTCTGTAGCAGTTCCCTCGTGCCAAAGAGTTCATTTGTCATTCTCTTTTTATGACTGAGGAAATGAAAGTATGGAAAATAAGTAACTTGTTTAAGGTCATAAGTAAATAATAACATGTATTAGAACTCTGCTTCATCTCAGGTCAGAGCATTCTTTCCCTGTGCCGCTGCTTTGGAAGGCAAGTTGAATGGCAAAGATATGTTTCCCTCCTTTTGAAAATCAGGCTGCCAGTCCGTAAGTGAATACTGACATTTACTGAGAGTGACCCAAGGTTTGGAAATAACTTTTTAGTTAGAGGACATTTATTACAGTTCTTCAGAAATTACTCATGTGTAAAGTTTTGCTGATTTTTTTTTTCCCCTCCTTCCCCACCCACCCTAGAAAAAGTGTTTTGTTCTTAAGCCAATCTGAAAGGCTGCAATATACATGTTTATATTTT